AGTGACACAAATCAAGTTACAGAGGGAAGGTAGTTCTTAAAATAAAAGGCCTATTGACTAGCACTTTGCCTATTATAGTATATAGTATGTAGTATGTAGTATATAGTATATAGTATATAGTATATAGTATATAGTATAAAGGTTAAGAACCACAAGGTGTAGAGGCTCAACCATTTCATTTATTGTTCTTACATCCTGGACCAAATTCCATCTACCACTGGGTTGTTTTACAGCTCAGAAGTCCACACGCAAGGCAGAGGTGAAGTAAGGAACTGCTTATGAGGTTTTCTGTCAATTCCAACAGCTAAAGAATAGTGAGAAGAGTTGGGACCTCAGAAAGCTTTTAGGACCAAATAATAGGCTCTTGTGTCCAGAAGAAAATGAATATACTTACCAGTAATGTTAATACTAACCCACGGCTCTTCTGGGAGGAAATGAATCATTGAAGCGTAGATCTATTCTTTTTAAGATTCCACTTAAAAATCTCAGTATAGAGTTCAACTTGAGGGGCAGTGGGTTTAGTCATTCGTGGGGGATTTTGTCTCACCTGAGCTTCACTACATAACGTATGCCCATTATCCCAGTTTGAAGCCAGTAAACTTAGCAGTAAAAGAACATGAGACTACATACAAGAAGGTAGGTATTGCTGTACTGTTCACGATAGTAAAGAGATGGAAGCAACTCAAGTGCCCATCAACAAATGAATAGATAGAGAAGCTGTGTTATATTCACACAGTGGAATACCATGTGGCACTGAGAAGCAAGGAACTCATAAAATATTAGACAAAGTCAGTGACCCTGAAGGGCATTATGCTGAGTTAAATAGCTCAGTTACAAAAGGACAACTACTGCATAATGTCACTGTTATAAAACAAAACTGATATAGGGGTTAGGGGAAAACTTAGAAAAGAGGGGATAAGAAATGAACACTGCATTGAAATAGACAAGGAGAGAACTGTTTAAAAGAAATGTAAGATTAGATATTATTTGCATGACAATAATCCAAAATAAGAGGTGTACAGCAAAGTGGACTGAGGCAGGGGGAGGGAAGAAATTGTGTAACAATAAAAGAATTTTTTAAAGAGAAAAGCGAACTGGGGGTGGGGGCAGAGTAGAAAGGAAAATGTGCAACAGTGAATGAATGGAAATCCAAGTTTTCTGTAAATTTTTGTTTAAATATCATTTTTTTAAAAGAGGGGAGGGAGAACATAAGATTGTCCAGAGTTCCACTGCTTATGAGTTATAGAACTAGAAGTCAAAACTCTAGGTAAGGCAATTAATAATTCTCTCAGCCACTTGATCCATGAGACAAGACAATCACCACCTTCCATTTCCCCCAGCAACTCATGCATCAAGGCAGGGATGTGGAGGGGCAGGGAGACAGCAGACAGAGCATGGCTGGACCACAATGCTCCAACCCAGAGGACGGCTGAAGCAGCCATTAATATTAATTATCCATGGTTCGGAGTTGAGGAGGAAGCTTGAGAAATATATCTATGGGGATGGAATTTGAAATAAGATCTGGAAGGGGGGCGGGGGAGAAGTATGGCTAACGAATGACCAGCTGTTTTAAAAGAGATTCATTAACCCAAAGAATGGCAAAAATGAGCACTGAGAGGAATTCCTCTCACGTGATTTAAATAATTGGCTTCTAACCAAAAGGTACCTTGAAAGTAAGTAAGTGTGACTGTTTGCTTCTAGAAAATGAGCTATTGAAAGCTATATGGAGTACTCTTCTCTCTGACACACTTGGAGTTTCCATGAATCAGAATGTACTCAATAGCAGCTGAGTTTTTTGGGGTTTTTTTTTTTACATTATTTGTCATACTAGTTTATTTACAAAATTTGAATACATTGTTGTTTTTGTTTTTAATTTATTTTGTTTATTTTTCATTTCAATGAACATCTACAGAGATTTTGGAATTCCATTCATTCATTGTTGCACCCTTCTCCCCGCACAAACCCCTC